AGTATTTTTTGTATTTCTAAATATCCATTTCTTCCCGATTACTGTTTTCTGTGAAGCTTCGTAGATGTACAAACTACAAGTATAACACTCGAAACACGTCTTAGATACCTGGATATTGTGTGGTATTTTACGTGATGTTTGACATATTGAATGGTAGGAGACACCTTATTGAGGCAAAGGGTAGCATTAGTATCTATACAATATATAAATTTAATGAGGTTTTGGCAGAATTAAAATTAGTTACACTGTTGAATGAGAGCTAGAAATTCAAAACAGCTTTTGAACGTTCTAGCATTCACAGTATTTTTTGTATTTCTAAAAATCAATTCCTTTCCAATGACTGTTTTCTGTGAAACTTTGAACATCTACAAACTACTAGTATAATATCACGAAACAGGCCTTAGTGACTCGGATCATGTACCGTATTTTACTTGATGTTTGACAGGTACCTTATACTAATATGCTTAATTATTCAGCTTTTCACAGCACCATGCCTTAGACTTCAGCATTCATGCTACACTTACTAATAGAAAAAAGCTCAACAGGTAGTATTGATAGCAATAACAAAATTTTCATTCAAAACTATTTGTGAAAATTGTTTTTATGTATTGATGTTGAAGACAATGGATCTTTGGATTCGACATATTGCTTGGGTGCTGAAAGGAGCCTCATTATTGGACATAATTTTCCTTATTTTCGCTAAAGCTCTTCTTAACATTGCTCGGAAATCATGCATCGCCACATAACTTTTGTCATGCTGCACTTACTCTTTATCTGCCGCGCCGGAAGCTCAACAAGTAGTATCCGTAGTAGCTGTAGCTCCTGTTGCGCGTTCTTCCTGCGGCAGCTCAGGCTGACTAGTGTGCACTGTATCTAGAGCGATGCGTCCACCTGTTACTGCTGCTGCGTGAGTAGCTAGATCACACAGAGTGTCGATACGAGAGCAACGCGAACTCAGAGTATGTTAGCAGCTGGTGTTACCCGCGAGGTCTGATCAGCTCTGATATCTCTGTTCTGGCAGGAGTAGCAAAAGCATTCGCGGTTCCACCCGCCTGCCGAATTATTGCGCGTCACGGCGCGTCGTCGCTGCGTCGTTGCGTCGCTCCAGCAGCAGGAATCCCAACGCAGGATCTTCTCGTGATGGATGTGACACAGGGACGGACTCCACAGAATGACCTTACTCAAACAAAGGAATGATGGTACACCTAAGGCAGTTTCCCCGCAAAATGAGATGCATATCTGCGGACTCGCTAAGCGTATACTCGTATCTTGGGCGGTGGTGGTACATTCAACATAACCACGTATTTAGGGGTTATTGCAGGCTTAACGTGTACATGACTACGTAATATGTAACTCTGCACAAAAAAATCTTGGATGGAGCACTTCTTATATGGAAATTACATTGATGAACAAAATTAAAATAATTTTTTGTGACATGGACAAAACAAGGTGGTTATTATGTAAAACCGATTTTTTCTATCACCCACGGTTTTCTTGCAATATTTTTTTTTTTTTTTTTTAACGAGGGGGGAATGCATTTACGCACCATACCATAGCACGAGCTACGACGTGTGTGGGGCTCCAGGGTCTTGAAGAGATCACCTAATACCCACTAAACCCTAAACCTCCGCGTGGCCCGACTCATCAGCGTCTCGGTAGGCCATGTGTTGTGCGTGACCTGCGGTCTGCTACAACGTCTCCTCATGTGTTTCAGTCTCTGGGAACGCCGGGTTGGTTCCCTTTACCTCGCACATTCTATCGATGTCGTTAAGCGATCATCGATAGAGGGTCTGCTAGTTTCTCTTGAAACTCTTGTTTTCGAAAAATCAAGAGTTTCAAGTCCTCTTACCAATATGTTGTTCCTGGTCCTGGTCCTGAAGGGTCCTGGTCCTGGTGGGTCCTGGTCGTGGCGGGTCCTGGTCCTGGTTGGTCCTGGTCCCGGTGGTTCCTGGTCCTCTGCATCCACGCCGTGGGGGGGGGGGAGCAGCCGCAAATTCTCCTAGTCTCCTAGTCAAGGTTCCAGTTAGCGGGTGCCAACTGGGACCTTGGTCTGGGGTACCTGGTTCTGCGGTTGCGAGGCCTCTCGTCCGGATCGTAGTCCATGAGGAATCGTAGCTGCTCGTTCGGGTGGTCCTGAGCTTTCTCGAAGGTCTTCTCCGCTTTTTTCCTCATGTACTCGTGGATGGTATCCCAATGCAGGTCTCTACGCAAGGTTGAGTTCCTTACGTAGGCGGCGATCCGGAGTAGCTTCATCTCTAGAGCAGCAAGTCGCTTGCGGTAGCTGGGGGCAGCGTACCCCCAGACCGCGGAGGCGTAAGCGAGCTGAGGTCTGGCGATGGCCTTGATCAGCCGTAGCTTGGTCGCTAGCGGCATCTGGCTGTGTCTACCCAGTAATGGATAGAGTTGAGCCATGGCTGCTCTGGTTTTTGCGATGACAGCTTCTATGTGCGCTTTCCAGGTGAGGGACTTGTCAAAAACGATCCCCAGATATTTGACATTGTCGCTCCACTGGATATCTTCATCGAAGATGGATGCTTCGAGAGGTCTTGCAATCCTTCTTCGTTGAATGAAGATTGCCTGCGTCTTCTGGACGTTGATGCGGATTTTCCATTTCACGCACCAGTCCTGAATTTGGTCCAGTTCACCCTGTAGTCTCCTACGGATGATCTCGGGTCGTCTATGCTTGGCGGCTATAGCAGTGTCGTCTGCATATAGGGCCAGCATTGTGTCAGCTGTCTTCGGCACATCGTAAGTATAGATGTTGTAGAGCAGGGGGGCTAAGGCTGACCCCTGGGGCACGCCTGCTTCCAGCTGACGTCTTGTTGAATGGCATGTACCAATCTTCACCGTGAACCATCTTTGTGTTAGATAGCTCTGGATTAGTTGGCACATGTTCGCATCGATTCCGGCGGCTTCCATTTTGGCGATGAGTCCATCGTGCCAAACTCGGTCGAAGGCTCGTTCCACGTCCAGCAGGACGAGACCGGTTGCCTCCTGGAGATTGAAGCCGCTGGTGATGTTTTCCGTCAGTCGTAGCGCTTGGAGTTCCGTGTTGTGGGAGGATCTGAAGCCGAATTGCTCTGGGGGGAGAAGTTGCAGTTCTTCTGCCTGCTTCTCTAGTCGAACGGCGATAGCCTTTTCGACTACTTTGCCCACCGAGGAAACCAGGCTGATGGGCCGGTAGTTCTGGGGCAACTTCCGGTCCTTGCCTGGCTTGGTGAGCATTATAACCTGGGCTTCCCGCCACCGCCGCGGGAAGTAGTTAAGTCTCAGAGTGGCATTGGCGATGTTGGTGAGCGCAGCAATGCCTTTGGTGGGAAGGTTCTTCAGCATCCTATTGTTGATGCCGTCCCTTCCCGGCGCCTTTCTGACCTTCAACCTGCGGATGATCAGACGGATTTCCTCTGGACTGGAGGGGTGATCCGTCTCCTGGCCAGGTGGTCGACTCCTCATGTTTTCGGCTGCGACTTCCACGGCCTCCTCGTGGTTGTCGTCCTCGTCTTCATGGTAATTGAGTCTGCATTCGGATTCTAGCGAATCGGCGAATGCTTCGGCTTTTTCTTCACTGGAGTAGGCCAAGCCGCGTTGGCCGTGAAGAGTGGGGATCGTGGTGCGCTGACGACGAAATTTTCGCTGCATAGACCAGGCCGTACCATCCTGGGTCTCTAGTTCTGCACAGGCTGCATTCCATCTGTTGTTTTGGAGTTCCGCGAGTGCGTTCTTCAGAGCTAACGATGCTCTGTTTCGCGCAACTCTCGACTCCTCTGTCAACAGCTGGAGATGTTCTCGCTTGAGTCTTCTGTTCTCCCTGATCAGGTGCCTAATATGGTGCGGTGCTGGACCATTTAGGTGTCTAGGAACTGCCGTAGTCTCGGAGCGGGTGCTGTCCTCGTGCGCTCGCAGGACAGCATTCTCCAGCTCCTCTACTGCGTTGTCCAGTTCCTCCGCTGATCGGATGGTTGGAATTTGAGTGATGTTCCTTTGGACGTTGGATTTGTACAGGTTCCAGTTCGTCCGTTTGGTGCTCAAGCTATCTCGAGTTCTAGACCCTGTGCCAAGTGTTAGTAGAATCGGATTGTGGTCCGACGATCCTTCCACCAGGGTCTCTATCTCGAACTCCTCTCTGATGTTGCGGAGGATGGCTATGTCCAGTACCGCAGGTCGCCCAAGGCCGAATGGAATGTAGGTTGGTTGCTCCGGACCGACGATGACCCCCGCCAGGGCATCGACGTGTTCCTGGAGCTGCCTTGCATTCCTGTCTTCGACGTTGTTGTTCCAAGCCGGAGACTTGCAGTTTAGATCTCCGATGACTATGCGTGCTCCTGGGCCTCTCAGGAGGTCAGCGATGTCATCTTCGTCTAGGGCCTCCCCTGGTGGCACATATAGGGAGGTGATTCTGTAGGGACGGTGGTTGTGATGGACCTGGACCGTGATTCCGTCCCCATTTATGTCTGCGGCATCGTCGAGGACATGACTCGTCAAGGTACGTTTGACGAGTAATGCGACTCCTCCACCTCTGCCCCTTCTGTCGTAGCGGTACGTCTCGTACCGCGGGAACGTCAGACTATGGGCAGCATCCAACTTCGTTTCTTGGATGGCCATCACCTCTGGTTGGTACTGGTCTAGTATCTCCTGGATTTCTGGTTTCCGTGCCCTGAATCCGTTGATGTTCCAGGAGATAATGCGTAGAGATTCTACGTTTTGACCTGTAGACATTTCGGGTCTAGTGCTTGTCTTGCATCTTGGCCTCGAGTGCATCCAGGCGGGTTATGATGGCTTGCATCATTGCTAGCAGTCTGTCATCGCCGTGTTGCTTCTGCGCAGTAGTTCCAGTAGCAGTGGCGGCTGCTGGGGCAGAAGTGGACATAGGCTTCTTCACTTTTTGAGCGTAAGAAGTCCTATTTGTGGTGGGGACTGCTTTGGGGGCAGAAGCAGCTTTCTTCGGCGCCTTACTACATCCCTTGTAGTTGGCGGGGTGGCCTTCTCCACAGAGGCAACACTTGGCGTTTCGTTGCCCTGATGGCGGCGCTGGCAGACTGCAGCTGGTGCTGTTGTGGTCCTCTCCACACTTAACGCACCGTTCAGCGAGACGACAGTTCCGCTGTGTGTGCCCGTACCGCTGGCAGCGGTAACATTGGCTGGGCTCGGAAGACTTTTTCTTCCTCTCGAAGCCGACCGTGAGCATGGCCAGCCTCTGGATCTCTGCAAGCTTTTCCGGCATCTTCGTCTTGACGAGGAAGAGCGGAAGTGGCTTCTTTGTGGTCCTTGAGGTCATCTGCTGAACCTCGGCGTCTGCGATGCCTTGGCTCACTAGATCCTCTTTGATGTCATTGACTGACATCTCTCTGGGTAGCCCACGAATGACCCTCTGGTCCATCCTGTCCTCCTTCAGTTGATATGTGAAGAAGGGCCGCTTGATGGATTCCAGCAGTGCGACTAGCTGACGGTAGTCAGCTGGTGTATTTGTGAATACCTTCACACTGGTACCCGCCGTCGTCGCTTTGGAGAATTGAATCCCCTTGCTGTTCATCATCCTACTCAAGGATGACCAATCAGCGGTGCCCTCGATATTGATTGGCGGAACTCCTGTTCCTGCCATGGGGGGCACGATGGTCCTGGCTGCTCTAGGACTCTTCTTGGTGGCACCAGCTGGCATCTTTGGCTGCCTTGGTGACTCATCTTCGGAGGAGGAAACTCGCACCCGCTTCCTCCGTCTGGTGGCGACACTGAAATCGGTGTCGTCCGTCCTCTTCTCGGCTTCTTCTTCTATTCCTTCGTTTCGTTGAGTGCTCTCTTCTTGGGCGTCCATCTCGTCCGACGTAGCCTGGTGGTCCTCTTCTTCCTCTTCTCCTGTCTTCTTCGCGGCCTTCTTCTTGGCCCTGCGGAGCTTCCCGCTCAGGTCCTCGATCTCCTGTCTGGCCTGCAAGAAGGCTTCTTGCAGGTTTCGCATCTGCTCTTCCAGCATGGCGAAAGCATCCTTCTTTTCTTTCAGCTGGTTAACCAGCTTCTCAATTTTTGCCATCGTAGATGGCAAACAACCAATCTATCGCAATGAAAATTGCAATAAGATTGCTCAATATGTCCGGGTGGGTCGCAGTCGTGCAAGTATACACTCGCAACGGCTGCTAGCTCGGAACTGGGACGGGGCTTGCAATAAGGCATTTTATTTGCTACTTATACTCGTAAAATATGAGGATATGTGTGTAAGAGTACTAATAAACACTCGAATAAACATTAATCTCAGAATGTTCTTGTCGATGTTTTAGGGCGATATGTTGCTCTTGAAGTACCTCTTAACAATGTCCAGCAAATAATCAGCAAGCAAATTCACACTCCATTTGCCTTGATACCGTTTTTCCATAGCAGAAATATCTTGATGGAACCGTTCACCATGTTCATCACTTACCGCACCTAAATTTTCCGAAAAAAAATCGATGTAAGAATCCAAAAAGTGAATTTTTAGAGACATAAGACATCCCATTCCTTTATAAGCATTAATTAGTTCATTCACAATATCTTTATAATTGTCCACCTTCACATTGCCTAAAAATTTGCAGTAACTGATTAAAAAGCATTCCAAGCTCGTAATTCAGTTTTATTTAGAGCACTGTCAAATACATCATCCTTCAAGATTTTCTGGATTTGTGGTCCCACAAATATGGCCTTTTTAATTTTTGCCTCACTAAGGGCCAATTTCACCAACAACAGTCCGTTATTCTCCACCTATAGGGTAACAGACCGTCAGACACAGCGATCAACAAATTTTAGCAACCTATAGCTATAAGATGTTGAAAACAAAATACTGTCAAAGTATGAGATGACAACTTGCCTTTGAAACATCACGAGCTTATTGAATATTAAGAATTTTCATATAATTCAGTCAAAATTTTAAGAAATGTTTGATTTTTGAATTAAATTCATGTTTTAATTACTATTGTTGATTTTTTATTCATGTTTATATTATTTTTTTCAATTGATATGTGATACTGGGTATTTTTTCCTATAAACCTATAGCCCTTAAGCACCTACTTGATGACAGGCTCTACCAAAAGCTATTGCTCGTTTCCAAACATTCATTCATTTACTTGCCGTTCATCAGAACCATTATGGCACCATTCAGGTTTTTTGATATGCGTACATCCATAAAGATGAATATTTTTCGTTGTTCAGGAACTGAACAAACATCCTCACTATATTCACAGCGATTAAGAAATTCCCAAATATATGCCTTAAAGCTACCAGCAAACCTAAAACCTGCAAAAAAAACTACAAATTTGCCATATTTTTCTTTTTTCACGAGTACACATTCTAGGTTATATTTATATTAGACATTATTTGAATACAGCTGGTTATTGCATTTCAAGGAGTGACACATGTGTGGGATCTGTCAACTCTTGGTACCAGTCACAAAACATATACTCTGAAGGTTTAATTCCATGCTATTCAGTGACAACACGGTGACTTGTGTGGTTATCAGCGGCCATTTTGTGAGGGTGCGACAGGGTTGCCAGATCGTGCATTAATATCCCGTTTCACCCTCCTTGTCCAAGTGGAGTCAGTTCCGCCAACTGTTGAAATATACTCTACTATGCTTTATAAGACTATTCGTGACATTTCTTCCAAAATCATTGCACAACACTTGAATATACCTCCGTCGGTACCTTGGGTTATACATCTTGACAGTAGGGATGTTCGATACGATTATATATTTGGAAGTATCAATACATTTCATGAGTATCGCCATCTTTTGATCCGGACTGTGTCAGAAAGGGTGACTGCCATTTGGCTGCGACATTACCCTGCCAAATCAGACATATCTTTCATCATTTTCAAAGAAATTGTACAAAATCTTCAAATTTGTCATCAGTTGCTGCCGTGATATTCATCCCGACCACTGCATTCCCACGGCTAGGCGACCTATATGTTAAATTTGTATTGATAGGGCAGCGGGTTATGCTATAAATCATATGTCGCAGTGTTTGTGCACTGATTGCAGCGGTTAGATGATACCAAAAATATTTTCATAAATAGGAGATCTTTGCCATTCCGGATCGAACAATCTACCAAAGATGCTTATAATCATGATACCTAGTAAATTTTCACGAAAAAAATCCAAAACCAGCAAATGTAAAAGATTCATTTCGCACCCTCCACCACGGGACGTGATCGTCGTTAGACTTGGCAACCCTGCGAGTGACAGATAGATATCCCCGCCAGTCAAAAAATAAAAATAGACAAACAATAAACATTACTAGTTTTTTTGATTTTTGAACTTAAAAGCCATTATTTGTGAAATATTTTTCATAATTTTTTGTCTATGTCCATAGTAATTGCATTATGCATCAGGGAGATGTAGGAATTGACACGTCTTACACATATTATCTGTGTTTTAGAATGGAGAGGACATAATGTTTTTATTGCTTTGAAAAAATTCATTAACCCATAAATTAATAAATGATTACTATTATGACGTAAAGGAAGATGAGGAATTGGATGGAATGTATTTTATATTCTATTTTCTTGCAAAATGCAGAAAAATCTACACTATTCAACAGGTATGTAATGATAACTTTCAGTATATTGAAGTTGGTAAATTCGCGAGTGCCATGCATTAACAAACGTAGAAAATCTGCTGCCAAATTTAACAGCTAGAAAATCGACCTATTATTTGCCGCATTCCCATTCGCATGAAAGTTGTCCTGTTTTTTCTGTACAAAAGCATCATGTTGTTTATAATATTGTTTATAATATTGTTTATAATACGATCGAATGTTCACGATTTTATTCAATATTTCAATAGAAATCACTAATATTCAGAGACCTTTGACAGCTTCTGTCAAATTGCATTTCGATAAGGTATTTTCCCATTGGTCCATAATATTAATGTTGGTGAAATCGGCCCTAAGTCTCGGAAATGTTTGTTTTAAATGCGGAAACCCTCTTCCATTTCGATCCATAGCTTTCACAAAATTTTTCGTCAGTCCCAACTTAATATACAAAGGTGGAAGCAACACGTTTTCGGGATCAACTAGTGGTTCATGAGCAATGTTTTTGAGGCCCGGAGCTAATACCTGACGTAGTGGCCACTCCTTCTGTTCATAATGGCGATCTGGCTCACGACTGTCCCATTCACAAAGAAAACAACAATATTTGGTATATCCCTGTTGCATTCCAAGAAAAAGGGCTATTACCTTTAAATCTGCACATATGGCCCATCCAGATTCATTATAACGGATATGCTCTGACAGAACTCGCATATTTTGATATGATTCATTCATATGAACTGCGTGCGCTATAGGTACAGATGGATATTTATTACCGTTGTGTGCCGATAGCGCTTTTAAACTAAGCTTAGAGGAATCAATGAACAGGCGCCAATCATTTGGATCATGTTTCTGTCCTAACGCGTCAAACAAATTGTTGACATCGAAGCAATATATCAACTCCCTTTCTTGGCGGAATCAATGTGTGAGGTCTTGTTGCCGTGGAGAAGATTCCATCCTTTTAATCTTGACGATAAACGTTTTTTGACGTATTTTGACAGATTTAATTCTCGAACTAAGTCATTAAGTTCGCCACGTGTGATCAAATGCGGCGCTGTTGAACATCCTGGCAGGTCAGACGAAGGATCGTAAATGTTTACGCTTTCTGTACCATCACTTTCAGAATCGGTGGATTCGACTTTTTCATCCAAAGACCAAGATTCTGGTGGAACTAGGACAAAAAGATCATCACTATGCTTAATGGGCCGCAATGCTGATGGAAAATTAAAATACTTAACTGTGTGTTTCGATTTTGGTCCAATACCTTTAATATTTGTGAGGCAAAAATAATAGTCAGTTAGTCAGTAGTATGGTCTCTCGGTTTCTCCAAACCATTGGTACAGCAAAGGGCATTTTACGATTGTCGCCTCTTAACCAACCTGTTGACAATGTTACACAAGTCTTACAACATATATGAGGGGCCCATAGTTTATCTAGGTCACCAACTTTTAACCAAAATAAATTTCGTATGCTTTCAACACAAGGGAAGTAAAAGTACGTTTTTGGGATTTAAAAGTTAGCTCTCCGCACACATAACAAAAACCGGTCGCACTATTTACACAATTTCTACGCATTGTCCATAAAGCTAGTCTCGATCACAATAAACTAAAAACAACACACCGTTTTAACAAAAATTAACAGTACTCAGAACATCTCAATACTCTTCATCACAGAAAACGTAACTGACTCGGCTGCTATTAGTCTACTAATAAACGCAATATGCTCTCTAAACATAGATCTCGTATATAATAAACAGGAATAGACAGGTCTGAACATTATATATGTGCATCATCGCATAAACGCCGAGAAATGCAGCAATATGAGATGTTACGTATTATAATTCATAAAAGGGTCTCAAAATACATAAGATACACCCAAAATTATCATGTCACGAATCCTGTGTTTATCAGTGTTATTTGTTTTTCCGAAATACCATTTTCCAACAATACCTCGACGTCAAACAACTATAGAGAATAAGTTGGAGAATAGACCAAAGAAGATCGATTATTGATCACAGGATGAAATGCTTGCGAATTTTGACAGCGCTGCGTTGCCA